GTAAGTTATATAGTTTTGTGATTGTTAATGTGTGATGTAAGAGAATTACGAAATGCTTGTATAATCAGAATCAAATGATGATTTTTGTTGGATGTGTACTTTTTCTTTCACTCAAAGACGATGAGTGTTAATAAGAGTGATTACTAGTGTAAAAGTTAAAACAGATCGAGTTATATCTGATCAACTTTTTGATCAAAAAGTTAATTGAACTATAACCATTCAACTGTTGTTATAACTATCAACCATTATAACTCGATTAACTTTTTTGATATTTTGAGTAGATTTAATCAAGTTGAAGTAGTAGTTATTATTGACTTAATTGATATATTTAATAGCATAAATAGAAATATATATACTTGATTATTCTCTACATTAAAAATTTAGCATTTATAGATCATTCTCTACGTGTTTTTTCATGTATTCGTCTGTAAGTTATGTTTTCTCGTATTTATATATCGAGTGCAAATGCATATGCAGTACAGTATATTTTCCATTGTATGATCAATAATAAGCTTTAAAATATGAGCAGTTGACAATAGTGTTTAAAAACTGTTCCCTATTCTATTCTATTTCTTATTCTTGAAAATGGTAATCATCTTCAATATATGTTGTGAGGAAATTTAGGTAAAGTTGCCGGTCCGTATAATCATATCATGTATATTTTATTTAAACATGAAATGATTATGTCAAGTTATTCTAAGTGCATTCTTATATGTTCATCGTCACTCTTTTAACCAAGTGCATATTCCTCGTTCTTCCTTATTATTATATCGACGAACGAGAGAAAAGAAAAGAAGAAAAGGCTACCAGACCAAAGGAGATGCTTTCTAGATTAGTCAGAAGTGGACAGTGGCTTTTTGATGTCCAGTGTGAGAGTAACGTATTTATTGCATGCATATAACTAATAATTTTAGTTGGTTTCAATCTATATAAAAAAGTTTAGAGTAACAATTAGCTTTTAATAGATTAAAAAAATGATTATAATAAAAAATAAATGAAAAAATCAAAATTTCATTGAATCGTCTGATTAATTTCGATTATAATCGATAAAAAATCGGGCAAAAAGAAAACCATTGATTTTAATTGTTTTTTTTTTCTCCTCATAAATGAAAAAATCTTTAATCAATTAACTTTGATTGACATCAAATTATAATGAATTTTTTTTCATGAAATTTTGCTTATTATCAATTATAAAATGATTAAAAATTGATAAAAAGCATATGGTTCCAATGGATTTTAATCGAGTTTTTTTACTCATTTTTTTATATGCAAAGTCTTGAGTAATATTGAGAATTGTATTGATTAATGACTATAAAAAAATTAGTTCTAAGTTAGATCCAAGCTTATAAGTACGACCGAAAGTTCGAACAATTTCAACATTTCATCGATTTACTCTATTATGAAACTTTCAAAAACATACTTTTAATTAAAAACCATGTATTCTTCATAAATATATGTTCCATAAGAATGAAATGTAATTTTCACTGTTTCTTCGTAGTTATGAACAAAGAAAAAATTCTTAATGTTGCATAGTAAACAATGCATCATTTCATTTACATTCGATGGATAAATACAATAAAATGTGACTTGCAAACAAATACATGGAAAAAAAAGCACTCAGAGTATAATATATAAATACTAAGTTTTTAATGTAGAGAACAATGAAATATATATATATGTTAATTTATTCTGTCAAACATAAAAATAAAATCAAAATAATTAGTGATATAAGCTACTAAAAAATTCAAAAAGTTAATCGGGATTAAAATGGTTGATAGTTATAATCCAAGTTATAATCATTTTAACTTTTTATTGCTTTTCTCGATTCTCAACTTTTTGAACAACAGTTTTAACTGCTACACAAAAAATTACGCACCATCACAACTCTGTCATTTTTTAGTAGATTAACTAAAACTCTTCATTCTTGCATTATTTCAGAGAGTCGAGATAATCCTCATGTACCATATATTTATAGAACTTATTTGATGTAGACTTATCTTCAGAGAATTTGTTTGGGCCACATCAAAATTTAGTTATAGGTCAATAATCAAAAGTCATACAGAAACTGTAAAGCATAAAATTCTGAAAGAGCACAAAATTTAATTTCTAACACACTACTAATGCACATAAATACGTCAAAAATAGTCAAATATTTTGCCTGAAAACTTTCGCCCAGTCCTTATTAGAATTCTATCTTATCATAATTTTGATCATATTTTATCTTTAAGAAAACTTCTACTCATATTATTATTCTAGAATTAATGATGTGTGTAAAGCTTTGACATAAGTCTAATAGATTATTGAAAAGTGTCAAAAGAATATTTTGACAATACTACAAACAATTAATACTATAATTAAAAACTAAGTTCCTAATCAATATTTTTACTACCAATAAATTTTTCTACTTACTTACTTTTTCAACTACTGCCCTTTGAATAGTCTTTGTCTGATGTTAAATCTTTGGAGTTCGCTTCTTTGAAGTCAGTAAGTACAATAAATAATCATATGTTATACTAATTGATAATAAGAATTTGCAACAGCATTTTAATATTATACAATAGTGTTTTACTCAAACAAGTAAGTAGCACTTTGGTTCGCTAGGGAAATCATATATTTGTATTTACAGATAATAACAATTTCTTTTTTTACCGACAGCATACAACTAGTTATTTTTTTATTATCATGTTCCGTATTTTTCCTTTATAGGATGAAATAAGGTAGCCTGATGAAGACTGTAAGATTATGCTTTTATATTGTGTATCATTATTTAATATTATTCTTTTTCTTCTATGTTTTAGAGCAGCAAGATTCTTTTTGCATATACGTCAATGTATTTTTCTACGATACAACTTTTAAAAGAACCTTTTGAGCTATTTTCGGTATCATCAAACAACACTACATACAAAGCTATCCAATATCTTTTAAAAATACTTTTGAGAACAAATAGATTTTATTGACATTCTAGGAGTGCTTTGTTTGTGTTAATTCTGTAGTATGTTCTCATTGTAAAAAGTTTGTTTTTTGTGAGGCACGAATTAAAATAATTATAGAAGTATAAGACGAAATTTTCGAACCTCATTTTTTTTTTTTTACAAACCGTGACAGTTATAACGACGAGAATGAAATATCTTTATTATTTTTATCAATTATTAGAATAAAAAGCTTGAAATTTTGAGCCAAATCATAATTCAGTAGAGTAATGCTTATTTATTTCTCCCTATAGAATTAAATAGAGTACAGAGCACATCCAACAGCATTCTTAATCGATTTTTAAAACACTACTTTCAATATAGTAAAAGTAGTTATATCATGTTTCATATTTTGATTTCACAGAGAATGCACTAATAGTTTTTTTCTATATAAATGAAAGTACATAATTTGATATGAACATAATTTATTCATTATGTTTTTTTTTTGTTAATAATCTATGACGTATATAACTCAATTGTAAATAAAACAAATCAATATATGACTGTTGAAATTAAAAGCAGCTCTATGTACATAAATTTACAAATATACATTCATAAGAAAAACATAGATNTTTTATTTGGCCTGAACAACACCATGTTTGTCTTTACAATAGTAGAGAAATTCCTGCTGAAAAAAGAGGTGGGGGGAAAGACTTTTGCCCAGGGGTGTATATCTCATTTATTAAACTTCTTAATCATTTTTGGTGGACTATTTTCGCCGAGTTTACCACAAATTGAAGAAAAAGTTCGATTTTTTTTTGCAAGTTCATTTTCAAAATTGTCTTGTTTTGTTTCTTGAAATCAGATTCATCGTGTTCATGAAACAATTGAACGTTCAGGAAAAGTAAAAATACAAACATATAAAGAAAAAGCATCAAACTATCTTTTAATAGATTTTTATCCAAATTTTAAGATTTAATTTCATAAAATAGAAATGCAATAGCCTTTGTTTTGTTCTTTAGTTAGTCAGTCGTATCCAAGATATAACTGATAGAGAGAACAAAAAATATCAATAACCGATTAAAACAACATCTACGGGCCGATTCTAATTTTTTTTTCCGAAAAATGAATTTCAAAAGTATTGAATGAAACAGTATTTAATTGATTATTAAAAGAAAAACAAATATTCCGATAGGAATAAGAATTATTTAAAAAAAGAAATTTTTTTCAATTAAATTTAAAAATTTATTTTGAAGATGACTTTTCAATTTTGTTCAATGAAGACATTCATCAATGTTTAAGTGAATTTGTTTGTTTTAATCAATTCATATTGTAATAGATAGTACTCAGTAAAATATTTATTTCACGATTAATACAACAAGCAGATCGTACGTCTCTATTCTACAAAATCCATCATTAGCATAGAATGATTTTTGAAATGATAAATTGACGCCATAGGTGAATATATATGAGTCTAAAAAAAGAGATCACACTTCTCTATTGTTAACATATACTATATATATATATATATCGAAGATTCATTCCTAAAAAACTGAATTTTACATTTGCTTTTAATGAAAAGAAGAATATTTTAAAAAACAAGTTTTATTTTATGCACGCTTTTTTGGTAAATACCCGTATATCGAATATGTGTACATCACATTTCTGATTTAGTTGCTTGTTGCATAGTAAATAGACTGTTTTTGGCAGCTGGATAATTAGATTTATTAATAGAATTAGAATGCCTACTGAAGTTGCAGAATTTACCGTTTAAATGGTGAAATTTGTTCGAATGAATAAATCTTGTAAAAAAAAACCATGTCTCCATTAATCAAACTCTTATCTCCGATACCTATTGTTCCTATACAAGTTTTTAGCTTTTCATTATGCACTGATTAACTTGCTTATTATTCTACATAAAATTGTATATAGCATGTAAAACGAACATTCAAATGAAACGTTATCAACTTTTATAAAAAAAACGTTATTTAATACTTTACAGAATTTTTAGATTTATCTTTCAAACATCCGAATTATTAAATTTATTTTATGAACAGTAAGATTGTAAAAAAAAGTAACTTTTCTAATAGTTTATGATGATGTTGGTTTATTTGAACGTCGAATAAAAAACTAAAAATAATCAATAGAACTCAAAATGAAAAGATCCAATTAGCGTACCTGTTGAATTGCATTTGATGATTGATTAAAATTATTCATTTGATGAAAGCTATTTGCTAGCCAATGAGGTAATTTCGATGGTATATTTGTTTTACTATAACGTTTATCAATTAAAAGAAGACAAGCATAATCACCACGATGTCGAATAGCTCGTCCAATACTTTGATTAATTGCTTTCCAACATGTATTTTCATAATAGGCTCTACCAGCAGTATCTCCTGCTGTAGTAGATTTTAATTTCATTGAATCCAAATAACGCATTTTTTCAATCATTTCAGATGAACCTATATTGGGATATGGCATACCAACAACACATACACATCGAGCTAATTCATCAGAAAAATTTATTCCTTCACTCATTTTACCACCGACAATTGAAAAAAGTAAACCGCCAGTACCATTCTAAATGAATATTTCAATAGAAACGAAAACAATAAATAAAAATTGTTAATCAAACTTTGATTGATTTTGTATAATTCGTAAGAATAGTATCAACATCACTTGAACGTTTTGGTTCCATAAAAATCTAATTATTAAGTTAAAATATTTAAAAGAAAAACTCTTCTAATGTTAATTTTCAAACCTTCTTTTTGGTCACAATCTTATTTAGAACAAATGTTTTTTCAAAATATGCATAAGTTTTTTGTAAATGATCATATGAACAAAAGAAAATCACTAGACCATCTGGTATAATAGAACAAAGTGATAGAAGAACACGTCCTAATTCATCCATCTAGATGAAAATTTTTATTCATGAAAAATGATGAAAGAAGAAAAAAAAACAATATAATTCGTAGTCATTTAACTTACCATGGTTGTATTCGAACGATTGACAGCAGTAAATTCAAATTCAATATTTTGTCGACCTGATGGCAGTGCTATAGCAAGTACATTATCTGCTGGAACAATATGATCTAATTGAACAGACGAAAAGAAAACAATATGAAATGTAGAGAATTTTGTTAATAAAGAAATGTTTAACTGCATGATAATTGAAAGAGTTTTTCTTCAGATTGACCACAAGCAAGAAAAAGATGATCGATAAATTCATTTATCTATTAAGAAAAAAATATATAAAACTGAAAGATCAAGAATAAAGACATTATTTTATTGGTTACAGGTCTCATTGTTCCGCCTAGAAATCACAATAGAATAGTCAATTTTCATTTTTAGTCAAAGAAAACTATGAATCAAAATTACCAGCAACAATAACCGAACGTGCTTCATTAACAATTTCATGAAAGAATGATGAAGTTTTAAGAGCAAAATATTTGATTGAACATTGTCCAAGAGTTTCTAGAAAATGTTTACAATAGAATAAAGTATGATAGTGAACGTTAAATAATAAAAACCTTTCTTAATGAGAATAATTTTTCCATCATCACGTGGATGTGTTAGTGCTCCGAGAAATGATGCAAAAATAGCAAATGAGTTTGAGATTCGTTGTTCAGTTGATTCTTTCAATAAAAAGAAAAAGTTCAAATAACAAATAAAAATAAATTCGAAGCATGAACTGATATAAATAATTTCCTCATAAACTAACAAAAAGCTTTTTGATCTTGAGACATCTGAGGAGAAAACGAGTAAAAGATTGACGAAGGACGTTTGCTATTTTTATTAATACTTGCTGAAATTTTTATTCCAAGTGTCCAGGTTTGATGTTCGAATGAAACTCAACAAGAATCTATAAATATCTCATATTCATTTCAAAAAGAAATTTTTTCAGGTTCCAGTAGTTCGTTCGAAGGTCTGCGTGCCAAAAATTGTTTCCTGCTTATGAAGGAATTCTTTATATAAGTTCATCAAGGAGGCTATGCTGATAATTGATGCATAAAAACTTACAACAGCATTATTGATTATTATTAAAATATCGTCAATATACCAACGTCTTCATCTAGGACAATAAGCTATTCAAGGGAACAATCCTGCAGGTTGATAATGATTCTCTACTATTCCGAAAGATGGTATTCGTGAAACATATAGAGCTGGATAGTGTGCAATTACAGAGTTAAATACACGAGAATATCATATCATCAAGAAATTTACCTAGACCTAAGAAATAGGACCATTTTTAGGTATGAAGAAAGCAACAATCAAAACTATTAATTATAAAAGATTGAAAGAGCGCCTACAACTGTATCAAAATGAATTTAAAACACAAAATTTGCATAAGTTTATTTTTAGAATATTTCGGAGAGCATTATGTCTATGAGTACTATATATATTTCTCAAGGATTATAATAAGTATATGGGTCATCAGCACATCAAAGTTTTCATAAAACTTGATTTCTTATATATAGAGGTGTAAGCCATACAGCTGCACCGTCGCCACGAAATCGGAGATAGTTTTACGAATTTTTTAGCCGCCGCCGCCACTGACATTCTTAGGAGCAAAAACGTTTTTTTTTTTGGTTTTTTTTGGTTGTCAAAGCCACCGCTGCTATGGAGAAAAATTTTTTACAATTAAAGCCGCCGTCACCGGTGTAGAAAAGCATAGAGCCCAGTAGGCACCGCCGCCACGGAAAAAAAATTGGACCATTACAACAGCCGCCGCCGTTTGACCCTTCGGCTTACACCTCTACTTATATACCATTCGGTATGCCTGATTAATGTCGAAAAAAAAAATGTCGAAAGGAAAAATGTCGAAAGGAAAAATGTCGAAAAGTTTGAAGACTGCAAAAGTAAGATCTTAGTAGTGTTAATGTTGTAGGGGAAAGGAAAAATGGGCAAAACTAGTTTTTTAATCAATTTACAAAAACAATAATTTAACAAAAAATATCTAATAATCAATCATTTTTTATTATTTTTGATTGTTTTATCCTTAGCAACAACATACGATAAACCCTCTAAATATTCTCCTAAATTGATTTCATCATTTGAATGTTTTCAGGTGATTGTAAATGTGAATGAATACCAACTGTTTTTATAAATGCATCCTTAGTATTTGTATGAACACCGGCATTGCAACTACGATCTTCACATTTCCAATATTTAACTGTAGCTGTTGTTTTACTAACATAATAAATGTAACTATCACGAACTAACAATGGTTTGCCTTTATTGCTTGTAATAAATGACATTGTACTTGCCATAGTATTTTATATATCGTTTTATAAGAGTACGAATGAGTGTTAAAAATACGATTCATCACAGTATTTATAAGACTAGACATTCTTGTATATACTCTTGCCATTTCTTTGATCAATTCGTCTGATAATTAGACTTTATAAGCTTAACTTCTAATCATTATAACTCTTCTCTTTTTGTTCCAGAGGAAGTGGTGATTAATTTATCCCTATCTATATTCTATGATAAAATTTTGTATTGTACATGCTATTAAGTTAATTAATAGTTGTGTCTCATGCTCTTTATTATTTTTAGTTTCCGACAATTTTCCTTTCGACATTTTTCATTTCGACATTTTAACTTTTCGACATTTTTCATTTCGACATTTTAACTTTTCGACATTTTTCCTTTCGACATTTTTACTTTTCGACATTTTTACTTTCGACATTTTGCTTTCGACATTTTTCCTTTCGACATTTTTCTTTTCGACATTTCTCAGTACATTTTACCATTCCATATCCTAATATCTGATTCAGAATAGACCATCAAACCCGTTGGAGTCCTTCACAGAGTAAAAGATATCGATGATTCCATACATTCAATGTGACTGTGCGCCAGAAAAATATCTATCGTGATCCAAAATGAAAACAAGAAACTTGACTGCAATCTTCTGAATATGTCTAAAATATAAAAATGAGTCGGTTCTCTTTCGTCTCATATAAGATATTGGCAATTCTGAATACAGAATACTTATGAAAACTATTAGAAAAGGAAATACATCCATTGAATACAAGTTCTTAAGGACATTAGATTGTTACTTTAAAGTCTCAAAAAAATCATCTTACAAAACAATGTATGTGATTTCTTCTTATACCTTTATTTAATTGTTCTTCATCAAGAATATTTGGTTGTGATTGTTTTTGTGTTTGTTTTTGTAATAATTTCTGTAATGCACTTTCATTGGTTTTCTTTTCTATAATAATTATAGAATTGAAATATGAATGCTTAATGAAATAAATTTGTTTTTACCTTCTGATAGTTGATTTTTATTTATAGGATATTTTGACATAAAACCATGTAACTAAAACAAAGAGAAAAACAAACTTGATATAAATTATAATACATTTATAAAGAAACCTTTTTAATTATTTCATTTGTTTTAATATAATCAATAAGTTGAAATAGATTAACATATATTCCAGCATCCGATAAATAATCAATTAAATCAAAGGTTGAAGAAGTTTCTACGATAGATTATTTTCTTAAAGTACAACTCTCGAATGAAAAAGAAAATATAAATGCTACCTGTTTTATTTGATGAAATAATGAGATTACTCCATTTTTCACTATCATATACTGTTGGCAAATTTTCTTGTGCTAAATCAACAATACAATGACATAGTTGATTTTAACAAAAAAAAAAACAACTTTCATTTTACCGCAAAGTGTTTTGATTAAATTGATTTGTACATCTAATAATTGTTTAATTGCAAGTAAGTTTTTTGCTGTTAAACGAGCTTTATATTTTTCATGATAACGTGATAATTGACCATAGGAATCGATCAGCTAGATTTTAATAGAATTTCTTAAAAAAACTGAATTTTTCGTTTTGTTTAATTTAACATACTTGATTTCCATTTATTTCACTCGAATGCATGGCACATATAGCATCCGGTAAATTATGTGCTTCATCAATAATTACAACATTATCACGCATTTCAATTCCACATGCTTCTCGTGTTGATTTATGCATTAAAGTTTGATAAGGTAAAACAACAAGATGAGCAGCTGCAATAGCTGCTCGTGTTGCATAATAAGGACATGTATTTAATTCACGGCCAAGTTTAACAACATCTTCAATATCTTGTACATCACTCTGAAAACGAAATCAAATATTATTAACAAAAAAAAACCAAACAACATAAGAGATAATCTATATCTGAATTATTCAGTAAAAAATAAAATTTGCCTTTTCCATGATTCAGATACAATCCAACTAAGAAAAACTAACGAAAAAAAAAACGTAATAACTATAATCTCCAGACTAGATATTTGCAGGATCAAGTTTACCAGATTCTGATCTCGGTAGCTTCTTTGCAAACAGTCTCGATCATAGTTACGGTGAATGTAGTATGCTCCTAGTCCAGCACATGTCTACTTAGATACAACAGTAACTGAAAAAATAGATTAAATAATGTTTGTAAACAAAAATTTAGCATATTTGATATGATTTTGTGAATTAAATCAAAAATACAACCAGAAAAGACAGCTTCTCTATCATTTATTTCAAGTAAATGTGTTTTATCAAAGGACTTATCCCAGTCACATTCAAAAACGAAAACAGGAGGGTTGCCTAAAAATGATAAAATAATATCCGACGTACAAGATGAACAAATGCAATCAAGCAATAACGAAACTATTTATTCATTAAGATTTAATTTTTACAGATTTTATTTGTATTTATGTCGTCTTAATTATCTTAATATGTTTTTTTCTATGTTACAAAATATTAGCATGAAAATAATAAATTAATTTGTGATGTATGAAAAACTTGATTTGATAAGTCGTAGAGTAAGGATACCATAAGACTCGGATTGCGATCCTAGTCCCTGTAAAGTTTAACTTTTGGATCCCGCATATGTCTACTCTGGATATATTTCACAATTTCATCATAACATATTTGCTATCTCTGTCATTCTCTTCTGATAAGAAGTCTTTGATGTACTTAAGGCTAAATCATTACGTATTAAAATTCTTATTGAATCTGTCTATAGATAATTAGAATGAAATGAAACTATTTTTATTGGTTTAAACGTACAAGAATATCATTCGATAAACATTCAACTCGATCTTGTTGTAGAAATGAACAACCACAAGCTGTTTTTTGTCGTTTTCCTTTAGTTGTTTTTTCTAAAACAAATTATCAAAATGACATTGAATAAAAAAAAAAATCTATTTAAAAATATTTTTACTTTCTTTTTTTTGTTTTTGTAAATCAAGACATTTTTCATTAATCAATGTTAATGATTTCAATTTAAGTACCGATTCATTAATACATAAATTCTAGATAAATTAAATAAGTATTCAAAATAATATTTAGAAAATCAATACTTGACGTGATCCAAGTGCTACTAAACGTAATTTATCAACATATTTTGTTTTTTGAATTTCACCAATGAATTGTGATATTTGTGAATGTGTACGAGTACAAAAGAAAATCTTATATACAAAAAAAATTTTTTTTTTTTCTAATAACTTTTCTAGAAAAAGATATTTTACTTTTTGAACATGAGCTTTTTTTTCTCGTAAACCTGTTGGATCAGTTTTTGTTGGTGAATCCATATCATCAAATAATACTTTACGATCATTATCTTTTATGATTAATTCTTCATCACTGAGATAAAAAAAAATTTCTTTATAGATTACAAATTTGATTTTCATACCTCAATTCATCATCATTATCGATTTTAAATTGATCTTTTGATAACGATGAATTATCATCATCAAATTTTGAAGGTAATTCACTATTAAATAAATCTCTATATTTTGCATCAAAATCTCGCTTCTAAATGAAATTAGATATAAAACATGAACTTACAGAATGATAATTTTACCGTTTTTTTTATATTAGCTGCTAATGTATTCTTTGCAGCATTTGCATATTGATCTTCAAGATCAATTTTCACTTTTAATTCTTCCTAATCAGAAATGAGATGAATAGATATAGAACTACTATCGCACTCTCAGAAATTCTTACAAGACATGCCCTGCAATTGTTCAATTGCTTTTGAGTTGAGACTATGTTAATTATATAGACCTAAATGAGTTTATGAATACCTTGAAAATACTTCGTGCTCGTAGCTGATTGTTACAGAGATACTGTACTTTCACTTTGAAACTTTACACAGAGACAAACCTTAACAAGAATATTTTTTTTGTGAATGCTTTCCAGTTTGTCGCAGTTCCTATCCTAAGATACAACTATAGTAATGGTATGTCTTTTACATCGTACATATAAACTAACAGCTATGATTCTCTTTAAGGTGTGTCTCTATCTAAAGTTTCAATTTGAAATTCGAAAATCAGTTTTTCTGTTGTTCTTGAGATTTTCAGAGTATTCATGGCTCATTTGGGTCTATATAATGCACGTAGCCTCAATTCAAAAGCAATTGAACAATTGAAAGACTTCTATTGTTAGATGAAAAAGAAAAACAAATTTGATTAAACATACTCGTCGTTTTTCTCTTGCAGTTTCTTCTTCTTTACGTTTCATTAACCGTTTTAACCAATCATCCGAACTGAAATAATATTACATAAAAAAAAACCAAAATAATATTTTATTCATGTACCTTGTTTCATTTTTAGTTTCAATGGGTTTTAGTAATTCTTCGTATTCATCTTTCCACGATTGTATTTCATCAAATAACCATCTCAATGAACCACATATTAAACTCAAACTTTTGCCCTTGAAAATATCGAAAAGAAAAGTTAACAATTAACAATAAATAATAAAGTTACAGTGCCAGTAGGTGATTCGAAAATACCATGTTTACGTTGTTGAATAGTTGAATAAAGACCACGCATAAAGTCAATTTGAATTTGATATGGTTCAAATGGAAATTCGAACGATGCTACTTCAACTATTAGGAAAAAAAAGAATATTCGATAAAGTAAAGTTCTTGTTTTTGAAAATTACCGATCGGAACGATTGTATCTGGTTTTTTTAAAGGAACATCATCACAGGCAGCTAGTAAGTCATCATCATTAATATCATTATCGTCAAATTTCGAAGTTGTTGAATTTATCATCTGGAAAATAATTCTTTGATCGATAAAAGAACAGAATAAGACACAACTATATGTAATTAGTTATCAATATTTTGTTCCAACATGACTGAATACAATCAAGTTGATTAACTACAAACTCTACTTTAATGGCAATCATTAGATTAATTTCATTAGTACAATTAGTACGTTTACTAATGTCAAGAATGTTATCTTTGTCTTGACTGAACTAAGTACAATAGTGAGATATGTAGAAGACTAGGTTTTGTTCGTTGGTTTACATACAGAAAGCATTTGTCCATAGAAAAGTGAACCGTGAATATAGATATATCATCCTTTTGATTGATTGATTACGGATTTTCTTTTATAATAAAATTTAATTTACTGTGTAATACCAGAGGGCACCAGTATATGGTTCTCTATTCTTCGATTGCCCTTCTACCGAGTGAAACCTGATAATTTAGCTTGTTGAGTTTTTTCCTACTTACATATATATATGAAATCACAGTAGAATAAATTCATCAAGCATGTCTTCAACTATGAATCAATGAAAGCAACAAATGTTCAATAAAAGTCAATATTTTTGAAAAATTTATTTTTTTATATTAAAATTCTTTCATTCTCGATAAAATTTTACTTTCACCGTGTGATGCTAAATACATATCATTGTACGTCAAAAGCAAGATATATAGAACAAGAATACAATAGACTATTGCCCTGCGGTTCCAAAAAAATTGAAACGAGAACCTAATCGAGGACCGGATTTTTCTGTTTCTCTTACCCGGAACTGTGGAAAAAAAAGTGGGTAGGACCGGAGTGGGAACCGTTAACTTAGTCACTTGCTATTTTATATTTTACAGTAAAAGTCATCAGTTCCTTTTTCGATTTCAGGAACCGGAACCGACGGTTACGGTTCGGTTCCCGGGTAATGTTAGGAACTGCAAGGCACTACAATAGACACTGAGTTATTCATGGTTGTTTCTTTTCTAAGTCTGGCACGTTATATACTCGATGAAATCGATCATTATCGAAATTGTTTTTGCCTATTGCTTGTCGATAAGTTTCTTTTAGTCATTTGAACCTGTTCCTTCAAATTCATATGTCACTTGACATGCAGCAAACGATTCTTTGTATAAGAACGGTAGTTGATGAAGTTTTTTCAAATAGAATTCTAAGCATTCTAAATCGACACTAATATACACACTAGCAGCTCATATTGTTATATAATTAAGAATAACTTCATTCACAAAAGTAAATAATCTTTATTCAGTTTCACATACCCACTGTAGGCGCGGGCCGATGGTACAGATACAACTACACACCTCACCCGTGTGCTCATTCACATCCATCAATACCCACACCCACATGAAAAACAATTCGAAGTACAGTCAAAGGATCCATATTTTTTATAGGAAAGTATTATGATAATGGTGAGTAGTCTCGAGGAAATGCAACAAACGTTAGGGAAGTTTGCTGCCCGTTGGAACATAGATCTCGACTTCTGCTAACACGATATTTCTAGAAAAATCGACTTAGAAACTGAAATGATTATTTATCGTTATCTATTGGGCAAAAGTAAAATAATTGAACAGATAGTGATTAACTCTTCTTCACTAGTTTGAAGTACAACAAAACGAACATTTGCTGTAGAAAGCTAGTATCAAGAGTCAATTAACATTGATAAGCATCAAGATGAAAAAGAGAGAGTGAAAAAGTCTGATTGATTGTTGTTCTCTCTAGTATTTGGACAAAAAAGAATGTCCTCTCGATAACACACAAATATTCGTTTGATAAATCACTCGACGAGTAAAGTTATTGATATTTCGAGATGGAAGTTGATACGACGTGTTGATTCAAAAGTAGTACTTCAATATACACTACCCCATAGACTTCGACTTCAGTCAGAGAGTGAATTAAGAGTCTATTTGAAGCTAGGTGCTGTAGCTACTCAAATATCATCGAATGGCAGTATTGTTTCGTCATCTTCACAACAAAAACTTATTATTAACAGTGTAGAATCAATGAGTACGTGATTGTAACAAGCTATTCTATTTATTTATTTCCTATACAGCTGTCTAGGTATTGGTAATATGATCGAAACATTACTACTTGATGAACATGGCCAAGAGACATCATCGTACATACAATCGTCAACAGCTGATTCAACATTATATGATTGATTGCAGCAATATCAACTAATTGTGATTGAGAAGTAAACTAACAAGTTGAATTCAATTATACTTCTAGCCTCCTAGAATTTTTTAATAGAATCTTTTAGAATTTTTGTCTAGTACTGAACTAATAAATATATTAGAGAATTGTTGAGCGTGTTTTTGTTTTATTCGTTCTACAGATACATTGAGGAATACAGTGTCATTTTTATCATAGGTCATTCGACGAGTGTCTAGAGACTTGTTGTATTATATTTTTTTTAAAGCCGTACTCTTCAACAAGCAAAAATTTGTGCACTCGAGTACGCTTGTTACCGAACGAGATATCAAAATTCACTTTTCTGATGCAGCTATTGGCTTGCTCTTCTTTTAGCATGATGTTATTGTCATTGAACACTCAATTTTATCAGGTTTTTTCCGAGATCACATGAGCTTACTAACTTCGAAGTATATCGTGAATTTCAAAGCAATCCAAACATTCTTTTTCCTCAAAACGTTATTGCTGATCTCTATTCTTTTTTATCTCTCATTTTCATCATAACAAACAAAAATTTGAGTACAAGCTCTTCGTCATCATTCTGACACAATTTCGAAGTAGTATGGTAAAAAGATATTCACACATAAGCCTAAATTTATGCAATTAGCTCATTCTAGCGGTACACATTTAATGAAACTGAATTTCAAAAAGACATTAGCTACCATTCTACTATGTGAATCTTCGTTCCGTTAAAGTTCAATTGAATGCAAATAAATTTGTCCTTATCATAGTTTTCGGTGGATTCCCGTTTCGTCGAAAGCTTAAACTTTCATAAAAAATAGTATAATCAGAGTGATAAGCTAGATTGCTTTGATTGACTTAAACTAATTCCTTAAAAAGAAACTAATTGATATTACTATACTAATCTGCATTTTTGAAAAAGTATAAATATGCGGAGGAAAATGAAAAATTCAATTTTTTTTTATATATTTATTCATTATTACACAAAATGATGCTATCTATCGTTGAAAGTAAACGTAATATACCAAATTTAATACTTGATACTTTTCGCTACACACAAAATCAAATTTTAAATACAACTGTTTATTGAAAATGTGAAAATCATTCATGGGTGTTGTGGATATTTTCTTCTTTACACTTACATTCACTCTCATAATGTTCTTTAGCAACTGGTATATTATCTCTACGAAAAAAGTTATTTGTAAATCGAAATGTACGATTATATAAATTAAACGAACGTTTTAAACAAAAAAACATTAACGTTGAATACATTTCTTGAAAAATTTCTGGAACTAACTGGAATAAAAAAAATTGTTGGGTTTTTTTCTTTTCTATATTCATATTTTCTCGTAATAATTTATTATTTATGTATCTAAATCTGCTCTATAATA